GAGGGGGAAGGGGAAGGAAGAGGGAGGGAAAATGGGAAAGAAGGGGAGGGGGAGGAGGAGGAGGAGTGGGGGAAGGGCAGGGGCGGGGGTGCACCAGGTGGTTGGCCTCTGATGGGGGAGGGAGGCTGGAGGCATGGTAGCTGGGGCAGGGGTGTCGCCTCCCCATGTGAATGGCTCCCACAATGGACGCTCAGGTTGGCTTCCAAGTCATGAGGACCCATAGGTCTGTCCCAGGTCACCACTGTGGAAATTCCACACTGGAGCCCAGAGAGACTGGCCCGGAGCTGTGCCCTCTTCACCCTTTGCTCAGGGTAACCTGCTTCCTCCTGCTGTGTGAAAGCTAACCCAGGAGCCCTGCCATTTCTGTGAGTTCTGAGCCTGACAGGTCACTGAGCCCAACACGGTGCCTGCTGCAGGGGCTGCCACCAGTGTTCCTCAGGGGTCAGGCCTGACAAGGGTCAGCACTCCACAAATGGTCAGCAGAACTGCCCTGAGAATCTGAGGAAAAGAAACACTTTGGAAAGGGGCTGAGGGCTTGAGTCACTCGTAGGAAAACACACACCTCATTGTGTGGTAAATAACCTAGACTCAAGCATAAACATCACAAAGTTTCTCCTAGATGAGAAACCCAAATTATAAATAAAGTGCAAGGGCTGGTGAGATAGCTTAGAGGACTGAAGCGCCTACTTAGGCAAGTCTAGGCAAGCGCAGGGACTGCGGTTCAATCCCTGGCACCACACGTTGTGTCAGCCCTGCCCCCAGGGTGGGCTGAGCCCGGCAGAGTCCCTGGCTGGTGTGGCGCCCACCCGTAATCCCAGTGTTGGGGAGGCTGAAAACAGGATAGCTATGAATCCGAGCTGCATAGGGTGACCCTGTGACAACCAAATCCATTAAAAATGTTTTTTAATTAAAAAAAATAAAGAGCAAAACAGAAGATAGATAACAAAAAACAAGCAGATAGATCTTTTGCAAATGAGAAGGGAACCAAGAGATAGAGGATGAGGGGAGAAGAAGAGGGCAAAGGAACATAAAAAGAATGACATTTCTGGGGTTACAGGCGGGCGCCACACCAGCCAGGGACTCTGCCGGGCTCAGCCCACCCTGGGGGCAGGGCTGGCACAACGTGTGGTGCCAGGGATTGAACCGCAGTCCCTGCGCTTGCCTAGTCTCTGAGTAGCCCAGTCTGGCTTCAGGTCCATTGAGATCCTCCCACCTCAGCCTCCCACATGCTGGGATTATACGCATGCGCCACCACACCTGGCACGAGAATGAAGTGTTCTATACGTGTACTGATTCTCCACGATCCATGTGTTCATGACGCCTTGCAAACATGTACTAATAAATTAAAATGAGAGGCGAGTGTGTCGGGTAGGGCCCAGACCAGCAGCCCGCCTGGCTCCGCCCCGCAGCCCCTGCCCCCTCGCCGTGGCTCCGCCCCGCAGCCCCTGCCCCCTCGCCGGGTCGGACCCCACCGCCTCACCTTGGCCCGGTCCTGCACGTCCTTTCTCCTCGCCCAGATCACGGCCAGCACGTAGAGCACGCACAGGCAGCACACGGTGCTCACCACCACGGGGTTGTCCTCGAAGGTGGCGAAGAGCTCTGCTGTCTGCTGGACGTCGACCACGTTGGGCATCACCAGGAAGGCGCTTCCGAAGAAGGTGAGGTGGCTGCAGAGGCAGTGCGTCTGGGTGTGCGTGGTCCGCGGCCCCACCTGCAACCCAGACAGGCTGCGTGGGGCTCAGGGGTCGGTGCCCTGGAGCCCGAGAGAGGCAGTGCCATCCGCGCCACAGTGCCGCTGCAGACAGATTTGGCCAACTGCAGATGGAAAATATTTTGGTTTTATTTTCTTAACTGCTGGACAGGTAGAACTAGGTGTTCCTTCTTTTTCCACATGTTCTTATGCAGAGCAGACATAAGTTTTTCCCTGCTGTTATTCCCTATGCAGTGCAGGCGGGGACAACGCACATAGCATGTATGTGGCATTAGGCATCATGTGCAAGCTAGACATGGTCCCCAGGATAAGGAAGCACGTGACAAGGTCATGTGCAGATAGATACCTTCTTACTGCCTGGGATCCTTCCCTGGATACTGGGGGACAGCAGTGCTGATCTGTCTGTCTGTCTGTCTGTCTATCATCTATCTATCTATCCATCCATCCATCCATCCATCCATCCATCCCTCCATCCCTCCATCCCTCCATCCCTCCATCATTCATCTCTCACATCTCTCAGCACTGGGGACTGAACCCAAGGGCATCCTACCTCTGATCTACATCACCACCACCCCCATCCCCTCTTTTGTGTATCTGGTACAAGGTCTTACTACACAGCTTGGACTCATAGTGATCCTCCTGTTTTCAGCCTCCCTAGTGCTGGGATTACAGGTGTGCACAACCATGCCCAGTCTTGGTTGCTGGCTCAGTGCGCCCCAGGTGCAGGGCCAGCGCAGCATGTGCTACCAGGAATTAAACCCTGGTCCCTGAGCTTGCCTAAGCAGGCGCTTAGTCAGCTAAGCTATCTCGACAGCCCTCACCAGCCCTTTTTTATTTTTTAATCCAAGACAAGTTCTTGCCAGGTTGCCTAAGTGGGACTTAAACTTGCAATCCTCTTGCCTCATCCTGCCAAGTGCTGAGATTACGGGGTCACATCAGCATCATGTCCAGCTAGAAATAATAATAATAATAATAATTATTATTATTATTTCTGAGTCAGCCTCACTGTGTAGTTCAGGCCGAACTCAAACTCATGGCGATCCTCCTTGCCTCAGCCTTCTGGGTGCTGGGATTCTAGGTCTACTGTACAGTCCAGAGTTTTAATAGACACCTTCACATCCATCATTCACAGAGAGCGTCTTGTTGATCTACTCCGTCTAAAGCTGGGTGTGGTGGCACATTTGTAATACCATGGTGGGGGACAGTGCTGATGGTGGCAACGGCACAGGGTGGCCTGGACCCAGCCACCCCCAAGGCCCCCAGCTAGTTCAGAGTCACACCCCAGGGCCACTCCGTAGGTTAGGATGATTTAACCCAGCTTTGCCACCCACACCGCCGTCTCACTGCAGGGTGTACATAGGTGGAAGGAATGGAGGGGACGGAGGAGACCAACTTCTGGAAAGTTCTCTGTTCCAGCACCTGGGAAGGAAGACACTGGCAGGGCCTGCTACGACCCAGCAGGTGGCTGTCACGGGCCTCAGCCTGGGCACAGAGCTGGGGCCAGCTGTCTTCCACCCTCATGGCTCTGGGGCTGTGCTCCCCTTTCCAAGACCCGCCAGCGGTTGGCACACAGCCCAGGTGTACCGGCCAGGTCTTCCCAGTAGGGTGGGCCAGCCTCTGAGAAGAGACTCAAATAGCAGCCAGGCAAAAGGCCGCAGGCCCAGGATGGTCCTGATCTGCCCTGACCCCTTCGCCCTCCAGGCTTCTCGCCAAGGCCTGGGGCCCGTCGCTGACCCAGCCTGCCCAGCTCGAGGAGCCTCTGTGATTGTCCAGGCCTCGTGCGCGGCAGGCATGTCCTGCACCCCAGCCTGTGAGGGGCCCTCCAAACCCCAGGGATCCATCTGTGGACCCCGTACGCAAGCGGCGCAGCTGTTGGTGTCCATGCGCAGATAGCGGCTTTCCACCTTCACCCCAGGGTCTGGAGACTAGGAGCCTTCTCTGGCTACTTAGAGAATTCAGTGGTGGTTTTCGGATAAAACGTGAAGATCTCATTTGCTTACTAATGGCTTCTCAACAAGTGCCGTGTGATTCTGCATCTATAATGAGCAGCGAGTACACAGTGTTATTATTTTTCTGTGACAGGGTCTTGCCATGTAGTTCAGGCTGGTGTGAAATTCATGGTGCTGTCAGTGCCTCAGCCTCCCAAGTGCTGGGATTACAGGCGTGCGCCACCACACCCAGCTCAATTTTTAATAACATAAGCCATCTCTAAGAACTCACCCTTGTACTTGAAAACTAGAAACTTTTAAATAACTCAGTTTAGGTAAGTGCCCTCCCTTCCCCTGGTCATCATCTCTGGTTCCATTTTGCGGCAGTGTGGTCTTCTCAGCCCCAAAGTTTTGTGCAACCTCAGCTGTTGCTCTAGTCAGGGGTACCCTCTGTGTGAGGCCCCTCCTGTCCCCAGGCCACCGCTCTGCAGCAGTATCCTTTACCCCATTCAGGATGGGACCACACAGCAAGGTGGGGTGACCCGTCCAAGGTCACAGCTGGCGCATGGCTGGCCCACGGCTGTTTGAAGGCAGAGCCAGACCCCTGCCCTGCCTCTGCTCCTGCCCCTGCCCTTGCCCACCCGGATGTGGGCTGAATCCCAGCTCAGTGTCTGTAGACCGAGGCAGGGATGGTGGCAGTTCACAAGGCCAAGAGCCATGCAGGCCCCAGTAGGATTCGCAGAGGGACAGCGGTGCTACACATGCCAGGGTCACGGTTCGCGACCCAGACAGACGTGGCTTCGAGTCCTGCTCTGTTCCACACTAGGTGTGGGATTCGGGGTGAGGCGTTGGAGTCTCTGAAACCTTTATTTAATGGTTTGTGGTTTTGGCAGGGCTAGGAACTGAACCCTGCAATCCTTTTTCTATTTTTTGTTTAGACACAGGTCTTCTGAGTTGCTCATGCCAGATCCAAACCTGCGACACTTCTGCCTCAGCCTCCCAGAGTGCTGGGGTTACAGGCCTCCACCCCTACGCTTGGCCCAAACCTTAGCTGTTTTGTCTGTGGAGTGGGAATAACAACTCTCCCTGGTCACTGCAAAGATCTGAGGAGATAAAGCAGAAGGCGAGAACCGGCACCTGGTACAGACAAGGGGGCGACTTTGAGCTCACTCCCTTCGAAGGACCTCGGGCCCAGTGGCCCACAGCCAGGTCTTCCTGCCTCAGCCTCCACTTCCCTATGATCGTTTATTCCCAGTGGAGAGCCAGGTGGGAGCCAGGTGCCCTCAGGGAGTTGGACATTACTTATGTGACCTCGAACCGAGAGGCCCCGTTGCTCGTGCTGTGAAGGGACATGTGTGTCTCAGAGGCTGTGGGCCAGGGACAGTTTTCTCCAGAAAGCAGGTGACAATAAGGTGGGGTACACTCTGCGCCCAGGGGGTGGCGTGTGCAAAGGCCCTGTGCTGTGCACTAGCTGGATGTGGAGGTGTAGCCCCAGCTCTCCAGAGGCTCAGGAGGGTCACCACAAGTTCGAGATGAGCCTGAACTATGTAAGGAGACCTTGTCTCATAAAACCCAAAAAACAACACATACACCAGGGCAGAGGCACCGAGGGGGACCCTTCCTGACCGGACACGGCCCGCCAGCCCACCCTCTGCTTCCTCTCCTTACCTGGCATCCAGAGTCATCCCAGGTCTCCAGAACCTCGTCCCAGAAGACACAGTGGGACAGGAAGGTGGTGATGCCAATGGTGAGGTCCCCGCCAGGGGCCAGCTGCAGGTCAGAGTCGGGGGCTACGTGCAGGTAGTAGATGCCTTCCCCAAAGGGCAGCTCCTCAGGGCCCAGAAGCCATGTGGCTGGCTCATCTGAATGGCAGGGGAGTTTTTCTTTGTTATTTTCCCCTCATGGCTTCTGATCCTCACTTTTACTTTTTTTTTTTTTTCTCGTGAAGCAGGGTCTTGCTATTTAGTTCAGGCCTTAAGCTCACTATGTAGCAAAGCCTAGCCTTGAACTTGCAGCAATCCTCCTGCCTCAGCCTCCCAAGAGCTGGGATAAAAGGCATGCACCATGGCGCCTGGCTCCAGTCCTCACTTTGGAAGGTGGCCACACCCAGGAAGCAGCCCAAGAAACAGGCTAGGGAGCATGGGGTACCTGGAGCAGCCGCTGGTGGCAGGCGGGCCTGGGCATCATAGCTGGTGGCGTTGGGGCGGTAGCCGTAGCCCAGGCTGAGTGTGAGTGGGACGCCAGGTCCCCAGTGCAGCTGAACCCCTAGAGCTGACGCCCTTGAGGTCACGTTCACCTGCAGAACCTCCCCTCTGGTCAAGTTTAACACGGTCGGCGCGCTGTGTCCTTCCAGAGGCCGGGGCAGCAGGATCTGTGTGAGAGACAAGGATGTCAAGGGTGTGCCTGGGAGGAGGTGCCGGCCAGGCTGCTGCATGGCTGCTGTCCAGTGCGGGGTGGGGTGAGCCCCGGGGACCAAAATCCACCCTGCATGCCCTCCTAAGAGCAGATGCCCGCAGGCACAGCGGGTGGCCTCACAAAGCCCAGACCGTTCACCTCACACATGTGGGGGCCTAAGGTCAGTTTCTTTTCTTTCTGCTTTTTTGAGGCAGAGGCTCACTGTGTAGCCCTGGCCGGCCTCAGGTTGGCTGTGATCCTCCTGCCTCAGCCTCCTAAGTGCTGAGGATCATGGGTGTGGGCTGCAGAGCTGCGCTTAGGGCAGAACACCTTCTAGGGCCGCCTTCTCGAGCTTCCGGAAGTGGCCAGCCGCCTCCCTCCTCTTCCAGCTTCTGGAGATCAAGCACCTGCCTCAGCTCCTGGCCCTGGCCTCGCTCCTCCCCTTGCACCTGCCATCCAATCCCCTTTCTTTTCCTGCCTCAGTGCCCTCCATCTCCATCTTGTGAGACCCCGGTGGCTCCCCTGGGCTGGTGGCCCATTCAGAGACCCCTCCTGTCCAACCTCCCTCCCTTGAGCTGGTCACAGAGGTGAATTCCCTGGTAGCCTCGGGCTCCAGGGATGAGGATGTGGACACCACTAAAAATGTCATTAAATGAGTCATTAGTGCTGCGTGTGGTGGAGCACGGCTGTAACCCCAGTGCTCAGCAGGCTGAGGCAGGATGATCACAAGAGGCCAGTTTGGGCAACTTATCATGACCCAGTCTCCAAAAGGGCTGGGGCTGTAGCCCACCTCGAGGGCCCTCAGTACCAACCAGTCAACAAATGAAAATGCCATTGATAAGAAAACTGTTGATGACGAGGAAAGAATCATTAGGAGCTTGGAAGAATCCGACATCTTATTGTACTGTGGTATGTTTATATATTTTACTTAACTTTAAAGAAAACAGAGATAAAGCGGTAGCTCAGTGGGGAAGTACTTGCCTAGCTAGCATGTGTGAGGCCCTGGGCCCAATCCCTAGCACTGCAAAAGAAAAAAAAAATTAAATCTAAGTGGGAATTTTAGAAGTTGCATTTATGCAATGGAGGTGATAAAAATTTCACCAACAGATGCACACAGAGAGGAAAATTTCGTAGGGCCAGTGAGATAGCTCAGTGGACTAAGCACCTGCTTAGGCAAGTGCAGGGACCAGGGTTTGATCCCAGCACCACATGCTGTGCTGACCCCACCTCTGGGCACACTGAACCTGACTCCAAGACTGGGTATGGTGGCACATACCTGTAATCCCAGTGCTGGGGAGGCTGAGACAGGAGGATCACTACAAGTCCCAGTTGTGTAGTGAGACCGTGTATACATACATACAGAGAGAGAGAGAGAGAGAGATTTCTTGTCTACAGCAAAAGTTGGATGAGTGCCGGGGAGATGGCTCAGTAGGATAAGCACTTCCCTGGCAAGCACAAGGGCCTGAGTTCAATCCCTGGTTCCACCAAAACAAAAACAAGACCAAAACTCCAAAAGCTGGGCGAAGGATCACACATGGCTTTAAGTGAAAAGTGATGTTGAAGATAGGGTAGGGATCTTTTTTTATTTTTAATGTATATATTTTTGTACAGGGTCTCACAACACCGTGCCCCCACAGCCAGACTTGGTTGGCAGCTCTGCACACCTTGGTGTGGCCAGCTCAGCATTTGGGGGATTGAACCCTGGTCCCTGTGTTTGCCTAAGCAGGCATTAGTCTGCTGAGCTAGCTCATCAGCCCTGGGTAGGGATCATTTTGAATGATTCCCTCTTCAGCTGAAGTTTGCATAATTGGCCAACTTCAGGCCCCAACCGCGTTTAGGAAGCCGAAGGACTTCTCTCTGCTCCCAAGCGCCCGACTCCTACCTCGACCTTCTCAGTCAGGTTCTTCACAGGGATGAGCCTTCCGCTGGGGCTGTTCAGGCTCAGGCCACCCACTGTTCCGCTGACGGCGAACCCATTACTGGCCGGGAAGGGGCTCTTGGGGAAGCTCATCATCTGGAACCGAGCACGGATGGTGTGAGCCGAGGCTCTGGGGGCCACTATGCTGTAAGATGAGGCAGGCCAGTAGGCCTGGCACTAAGGAATGGATGGAGGCCCCCAGCCTTGGTGGCTGCTGGGTTGGGGGGGGTGTCTGCCCCTCAGAACATGGGTGGTCCTGGAGCACCCAGCTCAGACTTGGTTTGGCTGAGCAATTGCTGGGAGGTGAAGCCCTCCGAGTCTTTCTTCCGCAATGTGCACTGGGAAGAGGAGGGAGTTGGGCATCTGGAGCCAACCGTGTGAATCCCTGATGCTGTTTGGCAAAAGTTTGAACCTCATCTGTGAAATAGCCAAGATGCTGCTATGTCACTGAAAGTACTGCCACCAGCCTGGATGAGCAGATTCTGGCACAGTCCCTTGCTGTCCCCAAGGAGGCAGTGGCCGCGTTACCCTGACGTCCACAGGCTCCTGTGCGTGCTCTGCACAGCAGAGGGCTTCGGTGGGCAGGGTGAAGGCTGCGGAGTGAGCAGCAGCAATGTGCAGCGAGGCCCGGCCCCACTTCCTCGGCTGCATCCTGGTGGGGATGGAGAGAGGAAGAGGTCAGCAGCCCACTGTAAAGCAGGACGAGCTGTGCGTTCTCGTGTCTGCGGACGGCGCTGTGTGTTCAGGGCGGCAGGAGCACGGTCAAAGGCAGTGGGTACCTGTGCTGGGTGGAGGCCCCAAGAAGGCAGAGCGTTGCCAGCTCCGGTCCTGCTATAGTGTCGGCCACTTAGGACGTGATCAGCACAGGTTTTATTTTGTGAGGCCGAGTCTCACTTCATAGCCCAGGCTGGCCTCTAACTTGTGGCGGTGACTCCTGCCACAGCCTCCTACGTGCTGGGATCACAGACGTGTGCCACCACACCCAGCTTAGACATGGATGTTGCCCTAGGTTTATCTTTCCTATTTGCCTTGACCTTTGGTGGCAGGCCCCCCCTGGCCCAACCTTTCTGCTCTTTGACCTCGTGCTGTCTGATTCACCTGGGGACCTGTTTCACATCCTGGCTCTGGGCCAGAAACTGCCCTGGACACAAGAGGGCACCTGGAGGACCTGAGGATGGGTGCTGTGTGCCTGGAGCTGCAGCACAGGCTCTTCTGGGGCTGGCCACCCAGGAGGTGGCCAGGGCTCGGGGACAGACGCACTCCGTGGGGAGACACTCAGGCAGGCAAGCGCATAGCCATGCAGGCCTCAGCACATGCGGGACACTCCCACCCTGTTCCCACAGATGCAAGCTGACTCTCCTCACTCGCTCGGTGAACACTGGGCACCTGATCCCCCCTTCCTGTCCTGTCGGAGTCTCTCACTTCCCAGCTCAGGGCCGGCCTCCCAGGCTCTGCCTGTCCTGGGCTCTTGGGATGTGGGTGTAGAGGGTGTGAGGTCATGGCACGAGCTTCTCAGTTACCTGTTCGTGTACACGGAGATGGAGGGGGTGGCCAAGGTGGCCGGAAGTCCCCCAGGCAACATGCCCAGCAGGAGAGTGGTCTGGACACGCTCTGCTACTTTGAGCAGTGAGGCCACTGAAGTCACCTGGAAAGGGAAGTGAGAGGACACCCCTGAGAGCCTTCACCCAGGGCCAACCCATCCATTTATGGGAATGTCACCAGGCTGGTGTGGGACCTTGTGTAGGGACCAGGAGTGACAGCACAGGGATGGGGGAAGACAGCGCTGTGGGTGACCTGAGAGGAGATGCTCAGACAACGCCAACTCCCGGCTTCTGCTAATGCCTTGCACCCTCACAGCAAGCAGAAGGGGAAACAGAGGCACAGGCAGGAGAGGTGACTTGAGGCCGTCACTGGGGCTGCAAGCCAGGACTCAGGGAAGCATCCAACTCAGGGTCCCTGTGTAGAGCCACGTGACTCTCTGTGCTGCTGACAGCCACACGCCATCCAGGTTTTGTTCCAGGGTGGCAGGGAGCCTGGGGATCAACACCCTCGGTGCCTGGGCTGAGCTCTGTCCCCGCCACTGTCCACACCCAGGTCAGATGTTTTGTGGATAATGCCGGGTACTGTGCAGACCTGGGAGGCTGGACAGTTACACAGAGAGCCCAGGAGAGCACAGATGGTGTGTGTGTGTGTGTGTGTGTGTGTGGCCACGGATGAAGACGTATGTGTAAAGGTGTTGGTGTGTGTGCATGCTCCAGGGCACAGTGGATGTGTTCCCTCCCCCACTGGGACTCATGCAAGATGAGTTAGGTCACCTGCATTTACAGATGAGGAAATGAGGCCTAGGGAAGTCACATGACCTGCCTGAGGCCCAGGGCTTGTAAGTGACAGGTGCCAGAGTCCAGCTCAGACTGCCCCTTTCCAGAGCTGTGCTCCGCCCACTGCGCTACCCTGCCTCCCTCACTGCCCGGTGGGGCTGCTCCCTGGAACTTTTCCTCTAGCTCCTTGGGAAGCACTGTAGCCTCTCTGCCTCAGTTTCCTCATCTGTTAGATGGGGAAGGAATCTGACCAGGAATGTGATGTGAGCCAGGCACACAGTGGCTGTGAAATCCACATCTGACCCGGGACGCCTACCTGGCTGGCATTGGTCCCCCCAGGCTTCTCTGGTCCGTGGCTCAGGGACGCGTCCAGTACACTTCCCACAGCCACAAGCAGGTCCCTGGTGGCCCCCTGGCGCCTCTGGTCCTCGGGACGGACTGTGGCACTCGCTGTCAATAGGGCCTCACTGGCAAGGTACAGAGCTTGGCTAGCCTGCCATGGGGTTCATCCAGAGAAGGAACAGCAGTGTGAGCCCTTGCCTGCATGGGTTCCTGTGCCTCTCAAGGGACAAGAGCTGTGGTGGAGGGCAGCAGGAGGGCTATGCCAAGAACGAGCATCACATGGCTGCCTGGATCCCTGATGTGAGACCAGGTCCTGCCTCCTTATGAGGCTGTGAGTTCCTCCAGGAGTGTAGCCACGTCTGTCCCTGCGTCCTTCCCGGAGAGCCTGAAACCACCATGGCCTCAACATACTGGGTAGGCATCCAACAACACTGCTGCCCAGGGGACAAGCGGAAGGTGGATGGAAGAAGAATGGATGGATGATGGATAGATAGGTGGATGGATGGATGGAAGGTGGAGCATGGCTATGTGAATAGATGGGTAGATAGATGATGGATGGATGATGGATAGATAGGTGGGTGGATGGATGGATGGATGGATAGATAGGTGAATGGATGGATGGATGGATGGATGGATAGAAGATGATGATGGATGAATGGAAAGTAGGTGATGGATAGATGGATGGATAGATGATGGTTAGATGATGGATACATAGGTGGATAGCACATGGATGGATAGATGGGTGATGGTTGGATGGATCAGAAGTGGATAAATGCATGGATGAATGAGTAAATAGATATAGCACTTATTCCAATTTTGCTATATCTGTTTGTTGAATTACTTGTTTCATGTCTTGCTACCCTGACAGTCTGCAAGTGCCAGCAGGCGGAGTCCTTGTGTGTGACTTGCTTCTGAGTCCCCAGTGATTCTGGTACCTGGTACGACAGTGTTCAAGAAGCGTGTGCTGGATGAATGAGCACACTGATGCGTGTGCAAAGGCACAAGAGGGTGGAAGGGCGGATGCATCAGTGCACCTTGGCTCCTGAATGAAAGACGAGCCTTGCTGGCTTAGGCAGGAGGATTTGAGGGTTGTCCCTGCCTGGGTACGTGGGCAGTTCTCCCCTCTTACTGTTTTTATGGCTTTTTTTTTTTGTTTCAGTGCTGGGGATTGAACCCAGGGCCATCACACAGAGCTACACCCTCCCCACCAGCCCTTTTATGTTGAGCCAGGGTCTTGCTAAGTCATTCAGTTGCCCCAGGCGGGGCTCTAACTCATGGTCTTCCTGATTTGGCCACCCAGAGTGCTGAGATTATGGGTAAGCATCACCACTCCAGCTATCATGGCTTTTTCTTTAAACCATGGCTTGCATACCCCTGGGGACATGGTGCTTTGATGTCAAAGCTCAAGCAGTAGATCCCAAGGCAGGGACTTGCAAGCAAGCAATTTATTTGGTAGAGGAGGGGGAAAGTGGGGCAGAGAAAGACTGGGAGTCAAGACAGGAGGGGGAAAAAAAGACAGGAGGGGAGACCAAGCCTGTGGCCTGTGAGTGACCCACAGGAGGGTCACTGGGGTGCCTGTATTCTGAGAGCTGGGATGCCTATACTCTGCCTGTGGCCACTGAACATGGCATGGATTCCCAGCCACATGGGCAGGTGGAGACGCTGTGGGGACAGGGAGGACCCAGGCTAGAGAAGCAAGTCCTGGCCCTGGATGACAAGCCGGTGTGTGCTGAGGTGGGGACAGGGTCAGCACAGCAGCCACATCTCCCACCTTCCCATGGCCTAAAGATGTACCGATCTGGTTGTCCTCTTGAGCCCCTCAAGAGGGGCAAGGGCTGTGGGCAGACAGGAAGTCATATCCAGTGTGAGACACGGGGGCTGCTAAGGGGGTTCCAGGAAAAAGAAGACAGGAGTCCTGGCAGGCCTGGGAGATCCCATGGCCGAGAGGCCCCTTGGACCTCTGACCTATGCCTGCTAGGTCGTCACCCACCTGTTGTGCAGGTGGTGCTCCGAGGTGGGCTCAGCAGGTGGGAACTCACCTGGGCCATGGGCATGAGCTCACGGCCATGGGTCAGCTCTCTCAGCACCTCGGCCAGCCTCTGTACCCTCTGCATGTCCTCCAGGCTGGCCATGACTGTGCACAGTGAGTCCAGCACAAGTTCTCTAACCTTGGCATGGGAGAGAAAGACAGAAAGAGGAAGTGTGATTCCAGGTGCTCCACGGAGGTGTTTCAGGAATATCTGGGACCAGAGGAGCGGCCAGGCTGCACAGCCCACAAACCTGGGCTTGCTCCAAGAATGTGGGTTGGCCTGATGGTGGCCCCGAGACGCCTGAGTCTTCATACGTTCCTGAACCACCCATCGGGCAGCTTGCACCACTGATGGTACCAACAGATCTAATCACTTTTAGCAATCTTTTTAAAAATAATTTATTTTTGAAATATTTATTTATTTATTTATTTGGTAGAGGGACTCACTATGCACCTCAGACTCATAATGATCCTCCTGTGTCAGGCTCCCCAGTGCTGGGATTACAGGCATGCACCACTGTGCCATTTGGTGGCTGATTCAGCAGGCCTGGGGTTCCAGGGCTGGCTCAGCCTGCTGTACCAAGGATTGAACCCAGGTCCTTATGCTTGAAAGGCAGGCTCTTAGACTGCTGAGCAATCTCCCCAGCCCCTTAGCAATCTTTTTACAATAAAATTCCCTTCTGCTTCCAGAAGCTGGTACCCTTATGACAATGAGGGGAGGCAGGTGACCAGCTAGGAAGGCGTTTTCTTCGCTTTGTGGCGCTCGCTGGAAGGCCTAGAGAGGGAGATGATGCTGGCCACTGTGGCTTCTGCTCTGAGGGTCCTCGACCCTCACTCCCTACCCCCAGGGGCTGCACAAGGATCCTGGCCCCACCTTCCGCCTAGTGTCTGTCTCCAGCAATGACCCCGAGCTCTGGTTCAGGTCGTCCCGGTTCAGCACAGACAACACAGACTTGGCCAGCTGGAGAAGCTGCTCGGGGCCTCTGTCACCCTGCAGAGTGGCAGTGATTTTCTCCAGCACCGCAGCCTGGAATGCCACATCCTTGACATGAGTGTCACCAAGTCCCACCTGATGCAGAAACAAGGGGTGAGCTCAGTGGTCCCTGTTTCAGAGCCTGTCACCCGATGTCACAGTAGGCCTAGGCTGGGCACTTCCTGTGGCTGAGGGCAGCAGATCTGCTACTATGAGGCAGCCCACGGCCACCAAAGCCAAGGCGTGGATGAGCATTTTCCCCACCTTGAGGTCCCTCTTCTGCCATGTTCCACCCCATGCCTCTGCTGCTCAGCCTGGAGCCTCCTGGGGTTCTATCCAGGCTCAGTCCAGTGTCTGCCTGAGATCTGATCTCTGGCACCTACACGCTGAGGGCGCGGGTCTCACTCGTGTCTGGCTCTTCCACTCCAGTCCACCCCTGCTTCTGGGACTTAGGCCACTAAGTCAGAAGAGTTCCCAAGACCATGTCCGTGTGTCCTCCCTCATGCCCTGGCGCACGTGTAGTAGATAGTCTGTGAATATTTGTCTAAGGAGTGAGTGGATCAGTGGTTTAGCTGGACCTGGCTGCCTTCCTCTCAGCCACCCCTGTGGTGACACGGGGATGAGGGGAAGTTCCCAAAATAAAAAGGACCACCACTACCCACCTTGACCATTGCGTGGGCCTGCTGTCTGTCCCCTGCTTGATTGGTGACAGAAATGACCACTGTGAGCACAAAGTCACTGTTTTCTTGGCCAAGTGGTAGATACACTGAGGGGAGGACTGGGTCAGGGCCGCAGTGCAGGCAGGAACCTGGTGGACAGAAACCAGACCCTGAAGGGGCAGCTCTGGGCCCCAGGGAGACAGAGACCCACTAGGGCTCCAGGACTCAAAACCCACAGTTCTGCAAGGTGTGGCCATGGTGTGGCAGGTGTTCTGGGATTCCACACGTTCTGGAAGGGGACACCATGTGTGCTGGCTCATTACCTCTCCCGGCATCTCCAAGTTGCTATAAAGTTGTACTAATTTGTTTTCTAAAATCCATTTTAAAATTGCAGGGAAAACTCGCAAGCTTAACACACACACACACACACACACACAGACACACAGACACACAGACACACAGACACACACACACACACACACACACCCCAAAGTGGTAAAGCAAGTTCCAGAAATAAGGAAAGAAAGGAGGGGAGGGAAGGGAAAAGGAGGAGAAAAAGGAAGTAAAGCAACAATTTAAAAGTTAACTCAAAGCCTACCAGAGCTCCCTCTAATGTCACTTCCTTTACAAAGCACCTCTGCTTGAAACCCTGGTCCTGCCAGACATATCTTTGTTTACTAGTTGTCCTGGCACTGGGTTGTAAAGATCACAAGGTCCAGCACAACCACTTTTGTATGTATGTATGTATGTATGTATGTATGTATGTATGTATTTATTTATTTATTTTTCCAGCCAGGGTCTCGCTATATAGTTCAGGCTGGCCTGGAACTCACTGTGTATCACAAGCTGGCCTGCAATTTACAGGGACCCTCTTGCCTCAGCCTCCCGAATGCTGGGATTACTGGTGTGCGCCACCACCCCTGGGTTCTTCTTTCATTTGCTGCTCTGTTTGGCTCCTGGAATACAGCCTGACATTCAATGCGTATTTGTTGTAAAAAAGAGTGAGTGAGTGAATATACTTTTATCCCTTTTTTTTTTATTTAGGACAGACAGGGTGTATGGGGTGTACAGGGTCTCACTGCGTAGACTAGACTCATAGTGGTTCTCCTGTTTACTACGGCCTCCCAAGTGCTGGGATTACAGGCACATGCCACCATGTCTGGTCTCAATCGCTGTCTCGGTGCGCCCTGAGGGTGGGGCCAGCATAGCAGGCCAGGGGATGGAACTCCCTGACACTGTGTCTGCCTAAGCAGACGCTTTAATCCACTGAGCTATTTGGCTGGCCCTATGCTTTTATCCTTAAGGGGGACCCACCTGTCCCCAAGTGGCCAATCACTGTGGAGTGTACAGACAATCATGAAGGTCAAGACTTGAGACTGGACCATGGTTCTCTATGGCCACACCTTCCTGCCTTTCTGGCCATGGGTGTGAGCTGGGGGTGAGGGGCCCAAGGGGACATCAGTGGGGATGGGAGCAGCTAGCCTGGTCTCTCCCCTGGGTGCGGCTCACCCTGCTTGGTCATTGTCCTTCCTGGCTCAGTCCTAGTCACAGCCCTCCCACCTCCACATTTCTACGTCTCTCCTTTCTGGGGCTTCAAGGCTTGTGTCCCCCTTCCCTAGTTGTAGGGTACAGGTTACGCCCCTATGGTTCCTGGTGCTGAATCTAGGGGAGCACCTGCCGACATTCACAGATTTGGGGGAAGGGTTCATCTGACCAGAACCCTTCCAGAGCTCATGGGGGAGGAGGGCTCACAGAACACCCAAGCCTGCTGGGAAGAGGTAAGGAACCAGATGAGGCTGCAAGGACTGACTGCCCCTGAGATGGGAGGATGAATGGGTGTCCCCTCCAGCCTAACTCCTGCACATGTCCCCTGCTGTCCTGGGCCTGGGTTTCTGTGATGCTGGGTGGCTGTGGAGAGTCCTGTGTAATGCTGAAGTCTGTCACCTGGATACCTGCAGACATGGTCTGCTTTCAGCTAGCTTGACTCTGCTCACAAGGCAGGCTTGGTGGACCTGTTGTGGGTTCTGTGAAACAGTCCTCTTTGGTCCTTCCCAAGTTCCCTAGATGCTCACAGTCATGGCTACTGCTGGTGCCTGGGTGGGGTGTGGCGTCTGGGGACAGCCCTGCCTGGTCAGGATGCCTGGTCTCCTCGCCCACATCACCCTTTCACTGCCCTTATCACAGAGGACAGAATTCATTTGGCCTCTGTGAAGGAAAGAGCTGCCATTGAGACCTGTGTGTCCTTTCTCTGTGGTCAGTACCAGGGCTGGAGGCCACAGTTAGGGCACCCACATCCTGCAGCCCCTCTCACCAGTAGAATACATTCCTTGTAGCTCCTGAGACAGTGACATGGTCCCTGTGCTTGGAATGGACAGCCCAGGTGCAGAAGGGTCAGCAGAGTCTCTGACCAGTACCTGATTCCAGGCAGAAGCAGAACTCCAGGGGACCCAGGGCCACAGGAGTGTCACAGAGAATGGCGAAGCTTGTCAGAATGGTGCCCTCCTCAGGGACGATGGCACAGGTGGGCACTGGCGGGGGAGGCAGTGTGCTGATCACGTAGAGATCCTCCCCATACGCATGCTCGGTCAGCGCTACAAGTGAAGACAGTGTGTGCTCAAGGGGCTCTGTGGGCCATGAAACTCACCATGCCTCAGGACTGCGCAGGGAGAGGGAGGCATGAAACACAGGTCCTGGGCCTTCTCTGATCGCTGTGGGTTCCCTCACGCCCCCAGATACTAGTACTCACAGCTTCCCTGGGGCAGGGAGCCCAGGGTCTGTCTTGGAGAAGCTGGGCAGAAGTTGAAGAAGAGAACCAGACATTTCTGCCATCTACCTGCCAAGGGACCTTAGGCTTGACATTGTGAGTCTGTGAGGTGGGGTCCATAATAGTAACAGCTTCCTCAGGGAGATTTTTTTGAGGAGGATGCCTGCATGCAAATTCTGCTTTACTGAAAGTCACTAAGCTAGAAAGGGCCAGAACCAGGACTTGGAAAAGCAGGTCGACCCATTGGAAAGCCCACCCCTTTCCAGGCGCCCCCAACACTGCAAAGAGGTGACCTGCAAGCATCCCACCTACCTGCTATGGCCACCCCGTTTTTAATTTTTAAGCATATGTGCCCAAGATCTAGGAAAGGGAAGTTTTTTTGAAACAGGGTTGTGATATGTAGCCCAGGTTGGCCTTGAATTTGTCAAGACCCTCCTGCCTCAGTCTCCTGAGTGTGGGGATTACAGGTGTGCTTCACCATGCCTCGCAAGAATTTTAGTCAGTTACACCAATTCCTTCACCTAAACTCAGTCGGAAGGCAGGGGGTGGGCCCAGCAGTGTCCACTTAGCCAGACCCAGTTTATCCTGCTGTGGGTGTTGATGGGCCACTGTGGAGACAGGCTCTGAGCTACTCCTTCTGAGAAGGATGATCACTGGACTCTTCAGCTTTGAGGACCTGCCTTTCCCACACTGGGCTTGTTTCATGGGAGAAGCCTGGATTCTCCTGGTAGGGCTGGTGGTTGTGTGACCTGTGGATGACCTGCCTGCCTTGATGCATCCTGTTGCCCTCCTGCATGGTCACCATCCTGCCGCAGCACATCTGTCATCCCCATGTGGGGAAACCGAGGCACAACAGAGGTCTTCCAGGTGGGAAGCTGTGTAGATTCACTCCAGGGCCTGTGCCCTGCCCCATGCCACACTGAAGCCCCCTCTTTTGCCATCTCTGGGTTTATCTTGGTTCCCTGCCAGGGTGGGGGACTACTTACCTGTGGCTCGGATCCGGATCACCTGTCCCCAAGAGCGCAGGGAGCTGCTGTCCAGGAGCAGCGTGGAAGTGTTGCTCTGCAGGAGCACAGGGGACCTTGGCCAAAACCCTGGGAGCCTGCAGGTGGCCGGGAGGGGCTTGGCCTGAAAGAGGCTGGGGTCAGCCCACTGGCCTCAGCAGGATGGTGGCTGCTGACCCCCAGGTAGCCTTGGAGATTTATGTCTGGTGAACAGACAGTGGGCCCACCGGCTTGCCTGGATATCAGTGTGAACAGGTGGGCTCCCGCTGTCTGCCTGAGGTGAGGGTCGCTGCTGGTGGAGCCTGAGGTGGGGCCCTTATAGAGGGACGGTGCACAGGTCCCGGAGGGCAGGCAGGGAGGGAGCAGGCAGGTAGAGAATGCATGGGACAAGGAAGCCGATTTGGGAGTGGAAGGTGCTGTGCCGCAGACACTGCCTTCCTTGAGAAGAGCCCTGGCTGTCAGGACCACACATCCATCTGCCACCACCCAGAGCTAGGGATGACCCAGCCGAAGAAGGCCTTGGCCTGGATCACGAGTCCCTGTAGCCCTTGGTCTTCTGGACCCACTTAGCCTGCTGCAGCCGCCCTCTGCTCCCCACAGTGCTCGCCCAACCCTGCTGACCCTGATGCTTGGGCTCTGGGTGAAACTGATGGCAGTTTGGCCTTCAGCATAGGCCCGGCCCATCATGGTCTCACCTGCTCTGCAGATGGACTGTCTAAGTACCAGCTAAACACGGCTGCGGGGGCGTTGCTTCCCAGGGTGACTCTGAGGAGCACATCGTCATCAGCATTCACCGGCTGGCAGTTCCGCTCGCAGCTGAGAGGGAAACAGAGGACAGGATGGAGGTGCTCCCTTGGGCACTGTGGGTGTGACACATCAGGACACCCGGAGCACATGGGACAGCTTGGGCTCAGAGAGCTAAGTGGGTAGGTGGAGCATGGACCTTCATTGTCTGGATCTGAGTCTGGGGTCTTCTGGGCGATGTCCTACTCCTCCTCCCCTGGGCCCCCGAGAGGTCATGCTGGTGTGTGCTGTTCATTTGAGCCATCCCCTACCCTTTCTATCTTAACTTCATAAACCTCTGACTCCGGCTACTTGTCCCATATATGCTCAGTGGGCTCTGCCAGCCCCGCCACACTGTATCCCAGCTCTCCGTGCCTTTGGCCCTAGACCAATCTCTGCGGATGGATGGGCAGCAGCCTTGCTCCTGTGCCCTCCACCTCTGCTTGTCCCAGCCAGGGGAAGGCTGGGAGCGGCTGGAGGCTGCGAGGACAGCAGGCACACTCTCACCTCCAGCCCTGCCTGGTGGCTGCAGTTGGCAGTGGCTGTGCCCCTCTGGCCAGGATCAGGGCTTCCTCTAGGAGGTCCCTCTCCCTCAGCTGAAGCTTGCAGGGGTTCCAGTCATGGCACCCGACCTTCGTCCCTGCAGTCCTTGGAGTGACCTTCCCATCCTGCCTTGTTGCCCTAGATCATTCCTTCGACCTGTCCACACCCAGAAATGGAACTTTCATTTCCTGTCTGTGGTCAGTGCCTGTTGGAGTGAGCCGGGGCTGCCTGCAGGGTCCAGCTGATGGTCCACGCTACTTCCTGCTCTTCCCAGAGTCCATGCCACCTCCCTGCATCTTCTCTTGCCCTCCTGAGGCCCTTTGCACCCTGTTTGCTGAACTTCGAAGCCAGACAAGGCCACGTCCCCTTGGCCAAGACACTTGGGCGACTCCCTCTACAGCATCCTCAGGGAAAGGGCCTGATTCTATCGTGGCCGGGCCTGAGCCAGGCCCTCCTGCCTCCCAGCGCCTTCTTGCCCGTCTGCCTCTCCATGGTGGTCTCCTGTGCGCTTATTATCCTCTGCTCTCTCCCTTTACTCTCTCTGTTCTCTCTGCATCCCCGCTTCCTATAGCTGCTGCTCCTCCTCAGCTCTTGAGCCTCAGGCCCCACAAGCCCTCGCTGACTTCTGGAGGGGGAATTGTCATAGGCCACTTCCTTTCCGCCTGCCTGCCTGCCTCCCTCCCTCCCTCCTTTTTTTCCTTCCTTCCTTCCTTCCTTCCTTCCTTCCTTCCTTCCTTCCTTCCTCACTCTTCCCTCCCTCTTCCTTCCTTGCTTTCCTCCCCTCTTCCTCTTTCCTTTCTCCCTCCCTCTTTCCTTCCTCCCTCTGTCCCTCCTTCCCTCCTTCCTTGCTTCCTTCCTGCCTTCCTTGCCTGCCTGTGTGCTGATCACTGCGGACCCACAGAGTGACCCCTAGGAGAACAGAGCAGGCCAGTGCTCAGTACCAGTGCTCAGTACCAGCTCTGCAGGAGCAGGCCCGCATGCCCACCTGACCTGAGGCCTGAGGTCCAGGGGGGCAGACACGTAGAGGCACCTCTCTGCCTCGCTCTCCAGCTCCTGGCCCCTCAGGACGGCCAGGCGCAGGGTGACAGCCGAGTCTGGTGGTGGCAGGCAGGGCGGTGGGATCACCAGCTCCCTCTGGTTGGTGCGGAGGAGCCGCCTCTGCGCACAGTTGCTCCACTGAGCCCAGCAGCGCCCTAGAGAAACAGGAGCTCTCTTGTCATCCATCAGGAACAGGAGCCAACAGGTGCTCCTGGTGCCCTACTGGCTTGAGGGCTTTGAAAGAAAAGGGTCAGGACTAACTAAGGACATCAGCTCCAGGGATTTTGATTTGAGTGGTGAGTACCAGGAATCCGGCTGAGGATGCTTTTCAGGCAGGCACTGCACCACTGAGCTAAGTCCCCAGAGGACATTGTAATTTTTAAAGAAAGAAAACAGTAGTCACTGGCGGGTTGAAGATTTGGTGTGACAGGGCCTTGGAGAAGGGAGCCCCAGTGCGCAGCCTCTGTGCGGGCCTGTGGAACCTCGCTGATCTGCATCCGGGGATTTCACAGGTGCTCAAGCGGGCGCATGGCAGAGGCCAGGGTGGCCCGGCAGTCCCAGAAGGGCCGTCCTCCCGCTTTCTCCAGCTTCCTCCACTCCTGGCCTCCCCTGTGACTGCACTCTGGGCAGAGTTGGGTGGGGCGGAGCTCGAGGTGGCCACCAAAGCTGCCACTACCCAGACAGGAGGCTGCAGCAGCTTCCTGTACCCACGGGTGCGAGGGGCACCTGGGACCTGCACCTCCATCTCTGGGCAGCTGGGGAATCACCTGCGTTAAGTTGGCAACTGCGAAAGTCTTACTCTGTTGATTGATGTCTGTCAGCACCTCCCCCATCCTCACCCCCAGGGGCCTCGGATCCCAAGATCTGCCTGGGTTCTCCTGCTCTGTGTTACTGCCCTTCATTCTTTCTATCCACTGTCACCTGCCTTCAGGGCCACCTCCCTGCCTCCTCCTCCTGCCTCCCCCATTTCCATGGAGTTTCCGGTCCCTGGCACCGCGGAATCACCCGGAGTGTCAGGCAGAAGCAGCGCCTGTGTGAGGAGGCAGGAAAGGAGCCGCGACGTCTGACCCGTCTGCCTCACTTCTCAGTGAGGAAGGACTGGCCGGGGCACTCGTGCCACCTACCACAGGACCAGTGGAAGCTCAGGTCCTTGTCGCAGCTGGCTGGCCAGCCCAGGGTGACAGTGGTGAACGGATCCGCATACACGGGCTCAGTGTCCAGCTCCGCGCTCCCCTTGGCTCCCTGCAGAAGACGCAGCGGGGGTGAGCGGCCCTGTGTCGGCGGCCTCAGTAAGGGGAGCTGTGCCACCCCACGAGTCGCTGAGGGCAGCCACGCTGTGGGGCTTGGGATTGGGCAGGGCTAGGCGGCCCCAGGCCCCAGGTTTCGGGAGCCCTGGCCGAGGCGGAGGGGCTTGGGATTGGGCAGGGCTAGGCGGCCCCAGGCCCCAGGTTTCGGGAGCCCTGGCCGAGGCGGAGGGGCTTGGGATTGGGCAGGGCCCTGGCTGAGCCTGGGGTCCCTTCCTGGGGATGGAGTCCCTCCCTCCGCGTCCCCAGGGGAGGGGCTTTCTGCCACAGGCGAGTTTAGGGCCCCCTGTGCACACAGCTGTGATCATGGAGCCGCCAAGGGCCGGGCCCTGTCTTTCCTGTCTGGAGGTGGGACAGAGACCCAGCCCCTGCCCCGAAGTTAGGCGGAGAAAAGACACATAAACCTACAAAACTCAGAGCGGTAACCGTGCTGTGGTAGAGCGCAGCCTGTAAGTCTTAAGGACGTGGGAGAGAGAGGCGGTGGGTGAGGCCCAGCCAAAGCTCATTCGGTGGCCTCAGCCCTTTTCTAAGTCCCCAAGTGCCCATTTCTCCACGGCTCTCATCGTGTCTGCCTGCCAGGGCTGTTGTGGCTCCTGCAAGTGCCATAGCTGGCAGATGTGAACAGCTGTTGTCTCTATGACCCTACAATGGGCCAGGGGACATTTCCCTGGGGGACAAGCTCCTGGAGCGTCACCAAGGGGGCAAGCACAGAAGGTACGAGGCTCAGAGTAGGCAGACTCAGGGTTTGGATCCCTGTGAGCTCTGGTAGGACCTGGCCAACAGCTCTCAGGGACTCTCGCCCAGGCCTGGAGCAGCACAAGCTACACCTGGAGGAGCAGGAGCTGCAGGGCCTCTGGGCAAAGTCAACACTTCTGCCTCAGAGTGGGGGTGGCTGTCCAAGGGTCTGTTGCTGCTCCCTGTTAGACATGTCATGATTCTTTGTTTCTTAATGCTTGTAATTTGTCTCCCTCACTTAGCAAGCTTCCCAAAGGCTGGGACTGCAGCCACTCACGGCTGCCTCTCCGCCCCTCATGCCTGAACATGGCGGGTGGACCAATCGTCTTTGCTTTTTAATAAATGCATGCTGAACCGTGTCAACAGCAAGGAGTTGGAGACTCAGTCTTGCTATAAAACTAAGTGGCATGTGTTTGTTTGCTTTTTGGTGTTGTGTTTTATTTTTTAAAAGATTAGTTTTTAGTGTTGTATGAAAGGAGAGAAGGTTAGCACTCCCCTTGACAAGGATGGAAGAGGCCCTCGGGCCTGACAACACGCATACGGTTAAGGCATTGCCACCTACTTTGTGGCATCTAACCATTGTTTTTGAAAAAATCATGACAAATAAG